AATACGTATGTATATACATATCTATGAAAATATATACATACATATATATATATATATTTCTATACATATATATATAAATATATATGTTTATATATATGTATATATATATATATACATATGCGTATGTCTATGCATAAAAATATAAACATATATATATATACATACACGTATTTATGTATATCTGTATTCATATATAAACAATATATATATAAGCACACTTTATTGTGCATTTGTATATTTAAACAATATGCACTTATGTCATTATAAACTCATTAAAATAATGCATTTAAAATAAACAAATATAAATAAATATATATATATACTTTAATAGATATATATATAAGTATATATATTATATATTCATTTTTTTGCATAAATAGATTTATATATTATTTGAATAGCGAGGAGGTGTACATACACTTCAGGAGTGTATGTACACTGCATGCATGTGTTTGCATGCATTTGGGGAAAATTATAAAATGTGATAAAACACAATTAAATAACGAAATGCAATTTAATTTAATTTAATTTAATTTAATTTTATTTAATTTAATTTAATTTGATGCAATAAAAGTGTTCTTTAAATAAAAATAAATAAATAAATAAATAAATAAATAAATAAATAAATAAATAAATAAATAAATAAAAAAGAAAAAAAATAAATTAAAAGAAAAAACAAATAAACGAAAAATGAAAAAGACAAAAAGACGCGAAGAACAAATCGAGACCTTTTCTTTTTTGTGTTCTTTATTTCTTTTTACTTTTCTCCTTTCTTAATTTATTTTTAATTATTTTTTATTTGTAAAATTTCTTTATTTTTTCCTTTTATTTATTTCCTTTTTTTGGTTTTTTTGTCTCTTCTTTAATTATTTCTTTCATGTTTATTTCTTTTCGCCATTTATGTTTTTTATTTTATTTTACTTTTTGTTTATTTATCATTCCAGTTTTTTTTGTGTTCATATTAATTACTTACTCTTTTACTATCCATTTATTATTAATTAATTTATTTATTATTTATTATTCATTTATTATTTACCATTCATTTATTTACCTACTTATCTGTTTTGTCTTTTTCCACCGATTTGTTTCTTTTTAAACTTTTTGTCTTTTCTTTATTTCGTTTTAAATTGTTTTTAATTTTATTTCTGTATGTTGTTTTTATTTATTTGACATTTTTTGTTGCTTGATTTCTTCTTAATTACTTGTCTTCCTTTTAATTATTTATCTTATTTATTTATATATTTATTTATTTTGTTTTATTTTATTTTTAATTATTTATATCTTTTCTATCTTTTGCCTCAAATGGCTTCTTCCCTTCATTTGTTTTTCTATTTTTTCTTCTCCCTTTATTTGTGTCTTTTATTTTTTTATTTTGTTAATATCTTTTCATTTGTTTTTCTGATTTATTCTTTTATTATATATTTATTTTCATTTGTTTCTCCTTATTTACTTCTTTTTATTTATTTCTTTTTATTTATTTCTTTTATTTAGTTCTTTTCATTTATTTATCTTTTTTTATTTACTTGTCTTTTTAGCCTCTTTGCTGCTGCCTCGGCTGTCCCTAGGCTCTTTCTAATATTTGCTTCCTTGCAATTTTCTTTTCGTAAAACATTTTTGCTGCTGCTCAGCAGCAGCAGCAACAACAGCAGCAGCAGCAGCAGCAGCGGCAGCAGCAGCAGTAGCAGCAGCAGCAGCAGCAGTAGCAGCAGCAGCAACTCGCTGCGCAAGCGCAGCTGCTTAATGGGGAGCCTCCAGGCCTCTTTCTAAGCTTCATGCAGCTGCAGCGGCACAAAGCCAAGCTGCAGCAGCAGCAGCAGCAGCAGCAGCAGCTGGTGCTGCTGCTGCAGCTGCTGCTGCGGCTCGCTGGGCTTATCTTGACTTGTAAGCGCTCAATCCCACCTAGCTAGCTGTGGCTAGCTAGCTGTGGCTAGCTAGCTGTGGCTCGCTGCTTGTGGCTAGCTAGCCGTGGCTAGCTAGCTGCGGGTGGCTGCAGCTAGCTGCGGCTACTTAAGGCCAGCTGGCTCTAGCTAGCTGGGGCTAGCTAGCTGGGGCTAGCTAGCTGGGGCTAGCTAGCTGGGGCTAGCCACAGCCAGCCTAGCTAGCTATGCAGGGCTAGCTGCCCCCAGCTGGCGGCTTCTGCTGCTGCTGCTGGCGCATGCAGAGGCCAGCAGCAGCTACGGGGAGGCAGCAGCAGCAAATTGGTTTGGGGCTTTGGGCCCCCAAGAAAGAGCCCCCCAGTTTGCTGCAGCGACTCCTGCCCCCTTGTAGAGCAGCAGCAGCAGCAGCAGCAGCAGCAGCAGCAGCAGCAGCAGCAGCCTACGGGGAGTGGGGCGCACAAGAACCTTTGGCCTTTTCCGGGGAATATTTGCCGAAATTAAAAACTATTTTAGTTTATTAAAAAGTTAAGAGCAGCAGACGCGGCCGTGCTGCAGCGCGGGCAGCAGCAGCAACGCAGCGGGGGCAACCTAAGGCTCGCTGGCTGCTGCTGCTGCTGCTGCTG